ATACTAGTCCATATCGCGACTCTATTTAAGTGCACTGACCTACTTTTGATTAATTCATCCAAACTTTGACAAATTCCGTGACATTCCGCATCATACAGTAAATTCTGTTTATATGACTGGATTCCGCGATTCCGTCCGGGTTTTCCGCATCGCAGAAATCATAGATAATATTGAGGTGTTTTGCAACTTCAGTGTAACGTTAGTGGATTGTCGCCTAAAAAAAACTCATGCTGGGGGCTCAGCTAGAATATTTTAAACTCACGTGCGAAATGGTTAACAAAAATTCTATGTTTAATATAATTGAGCTTGTCATTGTCCATTCAAGCAATTGATGCAGAATTGCTGCTAATTTGAAAGTGAAAGTAAAATGCGCACGGGCATTTAGAAGTTATTTAAAAGTGAGGAAAAGAGGGAAAACCCCAACAAAACCCACCCCCCGGTGATACCAGTGTTACCGGTGTTGTCACACGTCGATTAACCAGTGGGAAATTTTCCTTACCATTAGGGATGCACCGAATGTTCGGCAACCGAAATTATTCGACCGGAAATAGCAATAAGCGAATAGACCGAATAAATTGTACCGAACAATGATATGAAGCGATCAAATAGCAACCAGCGCAGCCTGTTGCTGGTTACTACTGTATGATGATTGAAATCGCGAAATGGCCTTAAACAATTAGTAAATATCGGTTAAGAATATCGGTTATCGGTCTACTTGGTCTGTAATAATCGGTATCGGCATCGGCCCTGAAAAACACATATCGGTCGACCCCTACTATGAACAGATGCTTTTTTTAAATAAAAAATGTTTGCTATTCTCCATTTTTGTTGTGTTTATTTTGTTACTGAGAGGAAAGCGCACAGCACATATTTACATTTCATTTAAACGTCGCTTTCATCAGAGTGGGCGGCGTTGGGATGTTCGATAACAGTATACCGCTGCTCACTTTCTTTCTTTCTTTTTTCATTACATTGAGGTGTGTTGGAAACAGGGGTGTACATAGTTGAGGTACCTAACAGGAACTACTCATACTTAAAAAAAAAAGTAAAGCCTTTTTTTTTTCTTTTTTTTTTTTTTAGAGGTTTGAAAAGTCTTGAAGCTTTGAGGTTTTATAGGCATTTTATGCAGACAGGCAGACTTGGCGAGGGCGGAAGAATACTTAATTTGCCAGAATGTGGGTGTGGCCAATTTAATTTAAATACACACTTAAAATTGAATTGAAACTATTTCTTAAATACTGAATTGTGCCAGTCCTGCTCGGAACCTGGCTTATATTAGCAAAGCTCAGAGAACAATGATGAAATTATGTTGTAACAATTAGGGATGCACTGAAATGAAAATTCTTGGCCAAAACTGAAACTGAAAATTCTGGATGCACTTGGCTGAAAGCCAAAAATTATTATTTTATTAGGATGAACAATATAAAATAATTTTGTAAGACTTTTTAATTTAACTCAATAATTTTAATGATAATGAATTTAAAAAACACAATCCAATAAAATAACCACACTTTTAATGAAAGTAAAGCAATGAAATTGGACAGAAAATACATTATTAAATATCAATTATTTTTATTCAGTTCTATGCAACAGAATCAGATTTAACAGTTTTTTTATTAATTAATTATTTTTTTGTTCTAATAATGTATAGTCCTACAAAGCTATTATTATTAGAGCATGTGAGCAGAGCATATCGGGGAGCAGATCAGTGAACGAGAGGGTAGCGTAATTTTTACCAGCGTTGCCCAGTACATAGGCCTACTACACCATGTTACAGCACAGAAGCGTTATTGCAAACAGGAACAAGTATACTACATAGAAATTTTCTGTCTGGGCGTTGTTTGAGCGAACTTTGCTTTTTCCGGTGAGCATGAGCATACATGAGTGGAGCATCCGCATGGACCGTGAGCGGCTCAATGGAATGCATATTCATAGAGCATAATATTGAGCGAAGCGTCACACCGTGCAGTGACGACGACTAGAGGGAGAGTGAAACCTGCATGCTGAACACTACCGGGCAGTGCGGCACGCTATATATTTTCTAGGGCTGGTCCGAATACAATTTTTTGAGCTTCGAAGCTTCGGTAGTAATCAACACCGAATATTCGAAGCTTCGGAGGGAGGGGGCTGTACATATTCTTCTCTCTAATAAAGGCAGGAATCTCTGTGTGTCTGTCTGTCTGTTTGCATTTTTTTATGTCGAGAACCGTTCATCCAATCGACTTCACGCGTGGCGGGTGTGTTGCTGCGGACCCAAGGGAGTGCAGTGTCACATTTTGGTGCAATATGGACACGCAACACTTTCAAAATGAGTAAACTTTTAATAAACTACAGAACAGCGCGAGCCGGAAGCGGCGCGTCTCACACGGGCAGGGCTTATATGCTTCGAGAACGGACACTGCACTAGCGATACAAAACACACAGGTCTGTTAAGAGCAATACTTTTAATATAGACAAATTATTATTAGGCTGGGCTACTGTACGTGTTTTTATGACTGCCGTATTCACAAGTATTTTTCAAGCAAATTAAGTGCACGTTTTTATCATGTTTAAAAATATCATGTTTAAAAATACTGATTAACATGGTGGATAAAAGCAGCTCGTTTTTTTTACACCAACAATATACTATAGGCGTACTTACAGAACTATTTTCACGTCATAGTTCAGACAAGGGCCGGGCCTCGGGCCTGTTTTAGGCTTCTCCTAATTTTTATATTTTAGACATCCATCAATTAGTGATGAAAAATTGCCGCGCTGGTGGAAACAACACGAGATCGTGCTGTCAAGAGCGGCTCTGTTTAGTGTCCCGCCGCAGCAGCAGCATGCGTGCCATCAGCGCAGCTGAAGAGTTCTGCGTTCAAATGCATGCAATAGGCTAAAGCTTGCCGCAAAGCCCCAGCAAAAGTAATTACCATGAATGTGTCAGGGGGAAATAGTAAGGAGATATTTGAATTATTTACTAATAAACTATTGTTTTCTGAGTCCGTGTCGCAAAGATGAAGATGACGATCTTGACTCTCCATCTCTTCATTAGACGCGCCTTTAGAGAGAAGTGCATCTTTACGGATTATGATGAAAGAGTTTTTGTTTTCGATTTGTTTTATTTCGTTAAGTGGTAATTTAAAGCTTTCTATAGATTTATTTATCATGTCTGTGAGGCATGTCTGGCGCGTCCATGTCCTGCAAAGCGTGCTTTAGGTTCCACTCTCCGCACAAACTTGGATATAGCGCACATTTATTGTAGCGCAGGTTTAACGTTTAAACATTGTTATATGCTTGAACTGTTTTAGTATATCTAGATTTTATTTTAGGCAAATCGTGATGATTTGGAAAGGCTAAATTGATCAAACACTGTCTGCCGCTGGCCGCTTGGTCGTTACTTTAAAAAACAAAAACTTATATTTAACGAACGAAAAATGCTCCAAACATTTTTCAAAATTAACTTAATAAAAAAAACCGAAATGAAATATAACAATTTTGCCATTACATACAAAACTGAACTATTTTAATAGCTGAAAGAGTAGTATAAACTGTTTTGGGAGAAGGGGAAAAAAAAAAGACGGGCTTGGGTCGGGCCCGGGCCGCTAATTCTGATAAGCTGTCGGACAAGGGCCGGGGCCTGAGCGTCTCAGGCCAGGGCCAGGCTAGGGCCTAAATTTGAGGTCCGTGCAGGGCTCTACTGCCTTTGTCTTGTCCTCACTCAATTTAAAGTGCTCCCACACAGCTAAGGTCTTCGGCACTTTTGTCTTCTCTTCCAGATTAACTGAATCATGACGTTCATGACGTTCACTCATGGGCGATTCATATTCAAGCGCGAATGAGAACCGTTTTGCGGGGGATGCCAGGTGTTCGGAAGAAAAGAAAAGAATATTCGAATCTCAAAATTGAAAATCGAATGCCAAACCACCGAATGAATATTCGAATAATCGAATATTCTGGTCCAGCCCTAATATTTTCGGCCGTTTTTCTCTTTCGGCCAAAAAAAGGAAAATGCCCATAACTTTTGGCCCATAATCTTCGGCCGCCTAAATTTTGGTGCATCCCTAGTAACAATGATGTTTTTGGTTTCAGACCTGTTTAAAAATAAGTTTTAATGAAGTATCTAATCAATAAAGTATCTGCAGAAGGTTATCGAAATAGTTCTGAAGTGTTTTACATATGTAAAATTGTGTAATTTTTTATTTCTCTTTTTCTAGACTGTTGCTGTTCTTGGTGATGGACACACAGCAGTTCAACAAACTCTGATAGTCTTTAGCTCCCTATTGCATCCAGCAGCCCTGTCTTAGGGGCCGCTGAGGGGGCAGACACTTAATGCACTGAACTCAAACAATGACTGACCCCATCATGGACTTCTTTGATGACCCTAGCATATTTGGGGGAGGGCTTGACAGCTTAGTCCAGGATGATCCAGGGTTTACCTCAGGGACTGTGTCTTTGGATGATGAACTTCACCTGGGTCCTAGTTTGGAGCCTCTTCAGGTGGATGCAGGGTCCAGATCTTCTGCCATCCAACATGGGATACCCTACAGTCAACCTATGACTCATTTTGACACTATGAAGGCACAGACCTCAATGGAACAGTCCTTTCCTGGTACAGAAGGAGGTGGCAATGATGGAAGAGCATTTTTGCCACAGCAACAATCATTTCAAGGGCATACTATGAACGATGTCCCCCAGACCAATGGACTGTTTCTTCACAACAGCCCCATGTGGGGAAACCATGATCAGAAAGGGAATAACTACCATCAGCACAATCAACACCATCAACAAATTCATCATCAACAACTTCAACATAAACAACTTCAGCAGCAGCAACAGTTTCAGCTGCATCAAGCTCAACATCAGCAGTACAGTCAGCAGCATCAACATCTTCAGCAGAGACAGCACAGCCGCAATCAACACCCAATCTCAGACCAGCTGCAGCTCCCTCACCAACAAATAGCCCATCAAGGCTTGCATCATATTGGCAAGACCTATCAGGAACATACTGGTTTTTACTATGAGAGCAGCATCCCTCAAAATCATTCTCAGCACGGCCACCATAACTCCCTCAATATAGAGGGTAGCCCCTTTCACCCTATGGTTGAGGCCTCAATGATGTCTGGGTCTTCTCAGCAACACGGTGGCTTTCAGATAGCCCAGGGGGTTCAAGGTTTTACTACAGGTCCGAGGTTAGAAGACAATGACCTGGCCTTCCCTGTCCAGTCTTCCCCTGCAACCCATTCTTTCCCAACTGACTCTGTTAGCCATGCTTCATCCTATCCTACTGCTCGTTACACTCTGACTGCTCAGCCTCTCCCTATAGTAAATGCAACTCAGTCTTACTCCTCTACCCCAATCTCTATGACAACCTCTTCAGTGGCCATCTCATCATCAGCTTCAAACCTTTTGGATACTGGTTGTCCTTTCCTGTCTAATTCTGGAAGGGAACATCAGCAGCAACAAGTCCACATGCCTGGCAATCCAGCACATCGGTGCCCCTTAAATAGCTCCAAATCAGACCAGGATCCCTTCCGCTCTTCTAAGGTGTTCCCAGATGGTCTGAACGTGTTCGCTGCAGACTGTCCATTCTCTACGGCAGAGCGAAGGAACCATGATGTACCTGGACCTTTGGTTACAAGCCAAAGCGTAAGCAGCAGTAATGGGTTTCAGGCACTTGAGGAGGTCTTGCTTGGACAGCAGCATTGTCACAGACTTGACCTGGGTGAAGCTCCTGACCTTTTAGGGGATGTGCTGTTGCCTCAGCTGGAGGCACTAGACCAGGAAGAGAGCTCCAATCACTCTTGGATAAACGCAGGACTTGAGAATGACCAAGAAGATGTGAAGGACGAGGAAGGCATGGAGGATGTGCCAGTGGTTTACAATGCACAGGTGAGAGAAGCGGTTCTCAGATCTTTTCCTAAGGTGACTTATTTTGCTTGATGGCTTTAAAAGTTCTGTGCTGGGATGTTGGAGTGAGTCAGAGATTACAGCTTTGATCTCCTAGTTTTAATTATCAGCTCTGCTAGGCTTATTATGAAGGGAAGTGAATGATTTGCAGCAGAGTTTGTGTGGTTATTGTTGGTTTATCTCCACTGGTAAATGTACAAGTTAATGACATGGATGAGAGATAAATGAAATGATCGCTGGAATGTTACCAAGCAGACAACAGACTACTTTGACAACTGGCTACATTGTAGTGTTCAACTGTACTGAAAGAGAAAGGACAAGACAGAAGGCTCCATTAAATAATAATTCACCGCTCCTCCTGTCCAGGGCCTGCAGACAGGTACTGTAGCAGCCGATTAAGAGTTGCAGTAGTGTTTAAGACTTACCGGGGCTAAGCGTACTTAAGGCTATAACAAGATGTGGGTCAGGCCAACCATAGGATAGTGGGAGGTGCACTCTGGCTGGCTAGAGTGGGTCTGGCTTGTGGTTTTTCTGTCTGCGTGTGTTGATGTGAGATTAGTGTTTGCGTGTGAGTGCAGGCAGAAGGGAGATGTTGATAATAAGGTTTCCTGAGGAAAATGGGGAACAAGAGAGAGAAAAGAGCAGGAGTGCTGTCTAGTCTGTGATTGCAAGCAGCAGGCAGTGCTTTCAGCAGTACTGCCTGACAGTGTCAACTCTTTTGCTTTCTCTGTCTGTCTCTCTCTCTTTTTGTCTCTCTCTCTTCTGATGCAGGAGCAATAGTCTATCCCCTCAGCTATTTGCTGCTGACACAGGGAGTTGAGGCTCAGTGATTCAGCTGCCTCTCTCTCTATCTCTCTCTCTCTCTCTCTCTCTCTCACACACACACACACACACACATACACACACACACACACACACACACACACATATCGTGAACTCTTTCCACCAGTTCTGCCGGGTACATGGAGTGCTCTCGTTGTCAGATGTGTGCATAAATACACCTATCCAAATACAGATTCTGATTTGCCAGTGCTCTTGTTTTTCCACAAGGAGAAATACAAAGAGTCTCTTCTTTGTTTGTCAATAGAGAGTTGGATTATAATATATTTTACTATATTGATTATCAGCCAACATGAGATTATTTTTATCCGTATTGTCAATGTTGGATATATATATTTACTAACATTGTATTTTTATATAGACTTGATATTGAATATTTAATTGTGCATAACCATTTCCCATTTTTTACATTTAGATTCCCTTTGCTGTCAACACTCAATGTTAAGTAATAAAAAGGCTAATAAAATAATAACATAGTTATATGTGATGTTAAACAAATCTCAAAATGAATATCTATTGAGTTTTGATATATTTTGTGTTTTAATTTTTATTTATTTAAAATATTATTGACTTTAGGTATGGCCATTTCCTTTTTCCCATAACATGAAAATAATTATCGGCTCTTTAGAATCGGCCAGAATTTTAGTAGCCTATTGGTTCATCGATCTTTGGTGTAGAATATGTTACAAATCGATTAGACTTTGTATAGATACTGAAAGCTAAATCAGAAGAGTTGGATTGTTATGTTCTCCTTAAGGAAAATAGAAAAAATGTCAGCACACAAAGGCTCCAAAAATAAAAAAATTGAATAGCAGACTATTAGGGCTGAACGATTTTGGAAAATAATCTAATTGCGATTTTTTTTACCAATATTGCGATTGCGATTTAATATGCAATTATTTTTTAAAGCTCTTTATGCGCTATAAATCATTGTATTGTATGACCAACACACTAAGACTATCACATAGGTGACGTTTCGAGCATGCAGGCTCTTCATTCGAGCACCCTCTTTGAGAATTTTTCCAGTGATGTGCATGCTTTTGTTTTTGTTTGGTTTATGTTCTCCTTAAGCCAATCTGTCTGTCCTCACAGATCCTTAATTAAAGCCAGAGGCAGGATGTGGATCAGAGTTCATATCGTGTGACTTCTGTAGTGAGTGTGTTTGTGTTGCAGTGTCTGTCTGCATTTGTGTGTGTGTGTGTGTCTGAGCGAGAGAGAGAGAGAGACAGAGAGAGAGATGAGCCATTCATGTGCACTGGGCTGTGGAAAGCCAACAGATGTATAATGTGAGGCAGTCCCAGGGTAAATGAGAGAGATGCACTCGACCTTCTCTCTCTCTGAGGGTCTCGGGGGCGAGTTTGTGCTTTAATGTTCTGAGTCTTTCTAAGCCTCTGGACCACGAGGGGTTGGTGTTTCAATACTGAAACCTGACTTCACCTTGGATGTCACTTTAGCTGCAGTAGAGGGGAATGGCTGTTTTTTGTGTGGTTTACTTGGGTTAAATGTTTATAGAAAGTACAAGATCATGGTTGAACATGTTCAGACAGAAAGTTCCCAAGTATGTAACTTGTTTCAATAATGCTACTTCAAAGATACCGCTCCATCATGTAATGCATGTAAGGGCCAAATCAGTGAGGATTTTTGAAGCGGGTGGCATAAAACCCCATTCGACCCATACATGACAACAAAAACTGTACACGTGTCTGTACTTTTACACAGGTGTTTCCCTTAAGTTAGGTTAGATCTGTAATGTTAAAAAAGGGGCATTTTTCACAACAGTCTCTATATATGGGAAATGTCATATCATACCTTCACATTCTGATGAATCCCTCTTGTGATATGAATTGAAATGAAAGAATACATTTTGTGTATAGCTGCTCTGTTGATCAGGATTTAAAATGTTCAAGATGGTTAAATAAATAAACTGCCACCTGATATGACAGTTTAAGAATCAGTCTAGTTAAAATGTGAAAAACGGTTTGGAATGAGTGACAGGGCAGAGCAGCGGCAGCCACAGTGTTACAGGGTGGTGTGATAGCATGAGGGCCCGAGAGAGCGAGCGAGACCGGCTGACGGCTTGAACAGAGCCCCTTTGTGCTGCTGCTTTGTGCAGAATGAACATTCAGCAACCTAGATGCAAATACCAATCCACATCACTCACATTCACACACAAACCCCCTATCCTATTGTCTGGATGGGATCCAGATGATGGATCTGCTTTTTAAAGGGGTTGTATCGTGTTACACTTCTCATGTTCCATCTTCTTTTTGATGCTGAATTAAATGGGCTGTTTTATGCTACTGTACTTCTTTAACTTCTATCTAAACGCCTTCTTCACATATGAAATGAGTATTAAAATGAGTATCAAATTATAACTATGAATTGTAGGTTTGTGTCCAATCAAGGTATGGCAGGTTAGCATAGCATGTTTAGACCCTTCTGGTAGATGCTGTAACTATACAATCTAGTATCTTTCTCCACTGATGATGTTCTTTTTGGGTACTTTTTGACTGTAATTGGGTATCTGAAAAAAAAACCCTATAAAGCTATCTGCCTTTCTTTCATAGATAACAGCAATAATTATATTATAGCATTAGAAATAGCCTACTACTGTTACTAAAGAGCTTACACATATTGGAGGACTAACCAATACAGAAAGCTAAAAAATGATTTTGGTAATCACCAGTACTGTTAGTTTAGAGCAGCAGTGGCACAAACCATAATTTGTTAAAAACCTTACATAAATTTGTTTTAATAAATTTAAGCATTGTATATAGTGAATATAGTTTAAATCTCTGCATTAAAAATTAAAATAATAAAGATGATAAAGACGAATAAAATCACAAACTCAGTTGTAACCAATAGGTAAGAGTAATGTTCTGCAGGAACACGTTCACTTTGATCACAGTCACCTCTATCATTTCTTTATCCTGTAAAAGGCGGTTTTGAAGCGTCTGATATTTATATTCAGACAATTACACGCTGTTATCCCCTTACAGTTCCTACTCTCATAAAATACTGGCAATGCATGTTGACCTTTAAACCTTAATTTAACTTTCAACAACAGATATTTCAGCACAATGAATGTTTTGGCGCTGCCGCTGATTATTAATTGTCTCTCTTTTCCGTCTGTCTGACACACTTGCACGCGCCCGCCGATCATTCAGTAAAGATTAAAACTTAACACAGACTGTCAGGACGGACCTTTATGCAAAAATGGAAATGCTTGCGTGAATTTGTGACATTTATACATAAGGATTTGGCCGTAAACTGAAAGTTTTTGCGCTGAGGACGCACACACGCATCATCTGCCAAAGCGCCAGACAGGGCAAGCCATTACGCTGCATTAGCTTAAAGCTTAAAGGGGTCATATGATGCTGCTAAAAAGAACATTATTTTGTGTATTTGGTGTAATGAAATGTGTTTATGCGGTTTAAAGTTAAAAAAACACATTATTTTCCACATACTGTACATTATTGTTTCTCCTCTATGCCCCGCCTTTTTGAAACGCGTCGATTTTTACAAAACGTAAATACAACTTAACCACTGATTTCTAGTCGTGTCCTCTTTTGGAAGGCCAAACAAAGTAGTTTCGCTTTCACAACGAAACACACAGGACATGGCTGCAGCGTCAACAATACTACAGCGAGAATAAAAGTTACGTCTTCTTTCTTTGCGTGAACATTTGGGGGCTTTATGCAAATCTTCCCACATAGTGAGGTAGGTATGTGGGGGCGTGTTCGAACGAGCCGTTTTAGGTAGGTGTGGCTAACTCTTAACTTTTATAAAGAATATCTCTTTGGATTTGAGACTTTAGTCTTTGCAACTTTACAGATCTTCTTTATGCACCAAGAGCTTGTAACACTCTAAAGAGAAAGGGCCATTTGAAATCGCATCATATGACCCCTTTAAAATAAAGAATTCTCATGGTTTGGGCAGCTTGGATCACGTAACTCTCCCGCAGCATCTCATTCTGTTTCCTCCACTATTTTTAGATGCATTTTGTCCATAAAAATGCGTAATTCAGTGCTGTAATTTGACGCGACCGTCTGAAGTTGGACATGCACTGTGGGCAGACCCGACTAATCGATAATGAGAATAGTTGTCGATGATTTTCATAATCGATAATAATCGATTTTATC